TAAATCAACTGGTAAACATAAAAGTTAGATGTTTTACTTTTCTTTGGGCATCAGATTCTCGAAGTTTTGAGATGTGCTTTCCTCTTTGATTTATCTTAATTGGAAGGCAAGGCTTGAATGGAGATTGCCACAATTTTTTGTTATTTTTCGTTTCGAAGATCTGATAGGATTCTATTTGATCAATTTCTTTTTCTTGTCTTTTGATATGTTAAGATCTCAATTCTCAAAGTGTAAAGCTTTCTTTTGTAACCCTTTTGAGGTCTTTATGGGAAGTATGTCCTTATCTCGGTGGACAACTTATTTATGCTTTTGCATATCTCATTATATTTGATAGAATTTACTTTGTTTTTTAATAAAAAATTCAAAAAATAAAAGCTGATACCTAAAAGATAAGCATATTCAGATACTTAATTGTTTTGTTAGGATAATTAATTAGACTATCCTAAGTTTTAGCTGAAACACAAGCAAATACCACTTGTTCTAGAATTCATTAAAAACCTCTTATGAAGTTTCAAAATCATCATAAACCTCTCTTAGAGTTCATATAGTATCTCCCTGGAAGTTTCATTAAATTTTCTAGAAATGTCACCAAAAAGAACTAATGCAATGGGGTTTGTCTGTGTTTTAGCGAAACCTCAAAGGGATAATTTTTATTATCCCTTTTTAGTATACTAACTACTGAGACAAATATGTAAAATATTTTGAATTGCCTTTATAATGATATCTAACTCATTTTCTTAGATATATAGAAAAATAGTAGTTAGATCAGGTATCATGTTTTTTATTTGCTAGTAATATGCTATAGCTTTATTATTTTATTCATTTTGCAGGTAAAACACTTAGATATATAGAAACATGGTAGTTAGATCAGGTATCATGTTTTATATTTGCTAGTAATATGCTATAACTTTAATATTTTATTCATTTTGCAGGTAAAACGCATGAAGCATCGCTTCTATTCTCTAAAATGCAGGAAGAAGGGATAAACCCTGGGCTGGTATGCATATAATTTGATCGAATACAGTTTGAACACTAACTAATTGATAATTATTGTGTAAACAATTTTCTTTCATACAATAACTTACTCCTATTGGGACCTTAATTGATTGGCAGTATAAACCTGAATGTGACCATGTTATTATGTTCTCTTCTGCTTTGACAATACTATGTTTAGTAGGATCATTCCTACAATTATCTCCTTTTATTTATTGAATCTTTAGTTTGACTAAGATTTCTTTTTGGTCATGCCATGCTATAAAAAGGATCTTTGAACCAAAACAAAACTTTTGTTGGTAATTTCCACATATGGTTTCCAATTACCCTTTTTCCTTGTGTTTTTTAAATTAGTTGAGTTTACAACGTTTACAACAATGCTATACATTATATTTATGTTTCTTGACTGGTTGATTAATATGGTGGTTACACTTGTCTTTACCGAGGAACTGTAGGTTAGCTACAATATTATCATCAATGTTTATGCTGCCGCGGGACTTTATCATGAAGTTGAGAAACTTTTTGAAGCCATGAAGAGAGCTGGCTTCGCACCTGACTCTTTCACATATCTTTCCCTTGTTCGTGCTTATACAGAAAGTTTGAAATACTCTGAAGCAGAGGAAACCATCAGTTCTATGCTGAAGCAAGGCATTCCCCCTTCCTGTTCACATTTTAATCACTTGCTATCTGCTTTCTTGAAAGCAGGTCTGATAGTGGAAGCTAATAGGGTGTACAAGGAACTACTAACAGCTGGTTTAAGTCCTGACCTTGCATGTTATCGGACTATGATGAGAGGCTACGTGGACTATGGATGTGTTGAAGAAGGAATAAACTTTTTTGAACAGGTTAGGGAATCTGCAGAACCAGACAGGTTTATTTTGAGTTCAGCTGTGCATTTGTACAAGTATGCAAACAAAGAACTTGAAGCTAATGGTATTTTGGATTCTATGAAATCTTTGGGGATCTCGTTCCTGAAAAACCTGAAAGTTGGATCAAAGATGAAACCCTCATAATACCTGTTTCGACAAGTATTTAACAAAGTCTAATACTTGATCAGGGAAGACAGGCTAATGACAATAAGTACCAGCTAGTTGTATTACCTCTGGAGACATGGTAGTTGGATAAGACCTACAAAAGTGCTAAGATGTCGTCTGGTGTATGAGGTTGATGGACAAATACTGTATAGTTGCTTTCAAGAAGTGACATGGCAGCGGGATCAGGTCGTTCTGTTAATAACATTCCTTTCTCAAGAGTCGATGAGCATTCTAGCATATGAAAACTCAAACTCAGTGCTGGAAGAAGTCATTGACCTTGAGAAGTTTACATTTATAGAGTGAAAAGGACCTGCTAATTTAAACTGGGATTGCCATCCCGGTCATACTGGTGTATGCATCAGCATCGTTTGTGGCTGATATATGGAAAATAATAATATGGCCTACTGAATTTCAGATTTTTAAATATGGCGTTAGGTTTCAAAGATGGTGGTGGTATTTATCTTTTGGTGCTGCATTGTATTTGCGTGAGAAGCTGTAACTGTAGCTTGATAAAGAAGTTGATCAACAGCTGCGTCTGTGAAATATCTAGCAGTGGTGATTTTAACATGCATTGGAATACAACTCAAGGTACATATATCTAATGTATAATTAATGTGCTCATGATTTTGTAGAACGCAAGCTGCTGTATCCAATGGATTGTTTTGTTTTCTGCTGATTCTACAAAATCTATAGACTGTTTCTGTTAAGGTCATAGAACTTTTTCAATATTTTCCGTGCATTCTTATACGAAAATTTATATGTGAAGGATTATCTGAACAATTCTTGTCCTTGCAATCAAATTTATGGTAACAATCCTTCTAATGCACCTCAAGAAACTGTCTAGACTGACCAAAATGGAATAATAGTCTGAATGGTGGATGTGCATTCATTTGCTCTTTCAATCATTAGTTTATATGCTAGTACAGTTATTCTAGCAAATCAGCACGATAATTTATTCTCAGTGTTTTTACTCCGAATATAGAGTGCCTTAACACTTAAGTTACAATTCTCCATAAATTAGCATTCAAAACCTGTATTTTTCAAGTTGTGTTCAGCCTTTTCTAGACAATGGTGAGTGATGGTAGCATTGGAGGCTTCATGATGAGAGTATATCATTTCTTCTAATATTTGGATCATTCTGAGGAATTAGTTCTTGATTTGTTTATTTTTTACTATTACAGGAGTTCGCCTAGGATAACTGGTGTAATCTGTCCACTGGATCGGAGGACCGCTTGGAAAACCCCATCTGAACACTGCAATGAAGGTTCATGGTGTCGTTGAACTTGCCAGCAGTGAGTCTCTTCCCTGTAAGCATCTGCAACAATGAGAGCCATAACTTGTTTCATAAAAGCATATTTTAGCAGGGGAAACTATCATAGACCTTGTTGAAACTTTAAATCTCATACTTAGACCTTGTTGAAACTTTAAATCTCATCCTTACTCTTTGTTTTCAGAAATTTCTGAAAATACCGGTTGATGATGGAATATTGAAATATAAGGATCTCTCACGGAATCGATGGTAGTATAGTTACCTTGTAGAAGACCATCAAAACTATTATTTGTTTCGATATAAAATCAGTTTGGTTTGGTTTGTTGGATTTCCTGTTGGAATAAGTTGTATTCAATTCCATATGGATTAAGCCTCTTTATGTAAATTTATAAAGGAATGGATAAGTATTGATTGAAGAGTAAAAAGATCAGCCGTATTCTTAAATTTAATATGAAACGATACAATCTGAGAGATTGCAAAAACTTAAAAGGGAAAAAAGTTAAAGGGGCTCGAGGCATGGAGTCCTTTTTGGTGGCTGACTTGAAGAAAAGTTCAACCTTGGTTTGGTGGAAAGCATGATTGAAGGGCTCGTTTATCTTATTGTTATACTTACACAACAAATAATATATAAATCTATTGCAAGTGCTGGCGGCCACTTTGCACTTGCAGAGTTCAAGGCCTTCAGAACAAAATATGGGAGGATAATGTTAGGTGCCTGTTGTGTGAACTGTAAAGAAAAAAGAGACTTCAAGAATTAAGGAAGAAGTGGAGAAAAAATGAAAGAGCCGAAATAAAGAGAATGGGGAAGACAATACAGTTGGAGAAGAAACTGACAAAGAGACAATCTGAAGATTTTTTTAGTTAATGTTAATTTACTAAATTACCTTTCATTGTAGCAGGAAAGTATAATGACCATGAAAAATAAGTAGCATTACACTCATAAATACTTCTCATTAACTTTCTCATACAAACGTTACGTGTCAGCTCACAATTTATCAGTTTACATGGATCCTGTCTGTCTAATAATAGGTTCCGTCTGACCAAGTCAATTACAAACTCCTACATGGGATTAGTGAGAGGGGTTTGTTAGGTTAGTATTATTGATAAAAAATTGAAGGCTATTTAATATTTATTTAATAACAAAACTAGCGGGTGTTCAGTAAAATTAAGTGAAACCTAAAAGTATTTACAGTTAAAAAAAACCTTTAAAAATTTATGATAGTTTTAAACTAACCATTTGTAAAATATATAGAATAATAAAGTCTTCATACAAAGATATATATACAAAGTGATGTCTCATATTATAGTTGGAAGAGTATTTTAACTAAAGTTAAATTCACTTTTTCATCTAGATATGACACATTACTTTGTGTGTGTGTATATATATAAGTTTAGTATTATTCAATTATATATGTTATGATGTGTCAAATCTAGCTCCACTCTCCATCTCTTGATCCACCCACTTTTAGATCTAACCACACTTCATACTAATCTTCATTTTCGTTTGCTAGAAAACAGAGTTGATTTATTTAAATCTTTAATTTAACCTTTATATTACACTTTATTTCAATTTGATTTGATTTTTATTATTTTATTAAAAAAATAAAATAAAAAACTAGAATCAATTTATTAAAGTTTTGTGATACTACTAGCAATTTAAGGTGGTACCAAAATTGTGAACTACATTTTCTCATAGGTGTGTACTTAGAATTTAGAAACAATATCTAATACCAAGGTGGGTCAATGGCGTCGTCTCTCTTCAAAACCCTAATAAGGTCGTCGAATTCGCCATCAACGGCTAGATATCTGAGTTCGACCACCGCTGTCATCAGCAACCATACCGCCAAATGGATGCAGGTAACTTTATCATTAACCGTTAATTGAGTTTTTGGTCTTACGATTTTAACCAATTTTTTTTAAGAGATGTGATAATTGATTATCTTTTTACGTTAATTTAGTGAAATTATTTAAGAATTCGTTGCTTCTGGATGGTACTGGGAAATTGTAGCACTAGGTTTAGATAGAGATTTAGAGTAAATTAGTTTTAGGGTTTGTTTGGGAGTCTTGTTGTAGACAGGGCTTTCAGTGCTTTTGGGTAAAAGTAATTTTTTGCCAAAGCAGTTTGTGGAAAAGCACTTGCAAAGTGTTTATTCAAGAGCTATTTCAGCTGCTTATCTGAAATGTGTTTTGAAAAGGCACTTTCTAGAAATGCACTACATCCCAATGAAGAGTTTCTTAACTGTTTATATAATTGGTGACAGTGTTTAATTCAACGGTTGGATTATATATATATAGAGAATAACATACATCCTAATTGATAATAGTTCACAACATAAATACCTTATTTCCTTGTCAATCAAAAGCATAGACCACCATCCTCTTAGTTTCACTTAGAATAATGAAAGAAGAGACAAATAGTTCCATCATGTGTGAGTGGGAGATATTAGATATGGGTGGGACACCCATGATGGGACCCACCCAATTTGATTATTGCGTTGTGGTAACTGTCAAAGGCGGTTACCACTATCTCTGCACCTGTATAAGAGTTTTTCATTTGATAAAAAACTCTTCCACACAACTTTTACGCAAATATATATTTCTCTCTTCTTTCATTATTCTTATTGGAACCAAGATGACGGTGGTATGTGCTTTTGATTGACAAGGAAAGGAGGTATTTATGCTGTGAATTATTATTGCAGTTCGTTTACACACACACACACACTTAGACACATTAACACACACATTAACACACACACTTAGACACATTAACATACACACACTCTTAGACACATTAACACACACACTTAGACACATTATGACACACACGTAGACACACACACACACACACACTTAGACACATTATCACACACACACACACACACTTAGACACACACACACACACTTAGACACATTATGAAATGTCTTTGTTAATTTTGCGACTAGCATTCCCTTAACTCGAAAAGAGGAAGCCCTAGGCGTTTGCACATGTTTTTTTCTTCCCAATTCTTTTATTTTCTCACTTTCTAAAACTTGAATCAGAATCTCTAGTTGATAAGTTCTTTCTCATGTTTTGGAAGTGTAACTTAAATTCCATTTGATGAGTTTCTTTTTATTTTTTCGTATGTTCAAGTGTGAGACACCTTCAAACATTCCTTTTGGTAAAGAATGTGATATTTGCATTAGATTTACGGAAATATGTTTAGCTAATAGAGACGAAGAGAAATAGCGTCTTTCTTCAATGCTTTAATATGTTATACCATCTTGCTTGTAGTTATTCTGATTTCATTTTGCATGTACTTGTGATGGTGCTGACTGTGCAATCATACATATTCTTCCATCCCCAATTTGTTTCACTTTGTTGCGAACATTGATTAGGCTTCAATGAAATTAATTGTTTGTTGTATTTTGAGTGAAAATAGTTATGGTGGTCAAATTTAGTAATTCAGATGTTGAAGTTGATGAAAAATAAGTTTGTAGTCTTACATCACTTTTATATACTTTCAAGTGCCTACTTAATTGAAATTATAAATTAGCCAGAAATTTTGGATAACATACTATTTTATTTTGGGAAATTGGTAAAAATGATCACATTTGTGGGGCTGTAATGTAAAATGACCACTTCCTCACCCTCTTCTTTATATTTTCTAGTATGTTAGGTTTAGAACCAGAATAACCTCACATCTCTCTTCTATTTTTTCTTCCCTTTCTCCTTCCATTGATATTTTTTTTTCCCTTTTCCACTCATGATAAAACTCTTCCATCTCTCTAAACCCAAAATCTCTTTTCATGTCTGTTTGAATGTACGGCAAGAAAATTTAAGTGTTGGTTACCTTCTAATCTACTGACATCAATGTTCATTGCAAGTTTGCTTTTTTCTTTCACTTTATTTTTTTTTACATTAGATCTACAAAATATAATGTTTATAAAAAATGAATCATGTCTTTAACTAAACCCTCTAATTGACCAGACCAAGACCCAAATTGTTCTTATAATAATTGCCTTATAACTATACCAATTTTTATAAAGCACTAATTGTTGGAAAAAAAAAAATTAAAAATATACCCTGCGCTGTTTTGAACTTTCAGCAGATACTAGGGTTGTACATATTTGACATAATAGGGGTTAAATTAATACCTTCTGTAATACAAAATTTTGCATTTGTTTGAAAACCTTTCTGGTGAACCTCAGACCAGTTTGATGAAGAGAATCCCTCAAACAAATTCAAAGATTTCAATGACTGGAAAAATATCAGTTGACACTTTATTTTTATATCAAATATTAGCAAAGTTTCAATTTTTTTAAAATTTCATGGTAACCTTCAATATTGCATGTCAACACAACATATATTTTTAGTGTTCATAAACTCTGAGGGCTTTGTTCATACTTGATATAATTCGAGGGGGTTTATTATATTGTACCATTTCTCAAATTTTCTAGAAATTTCAATAACAATTTGGGTTTTGTTGTGATCAATGTCATTTAAAGCGTTTTTGATATACTAAAAGTGAAATATAATGATGTGATTCATTTTTTAAATAATCAGGTTAAACATGAACAATATATATTATAAATTTAATGTAAAGTAAAAAAAATGCCCAACTTACAACAGAAAAATATCTCTATCTATATGATATTGTAATGAATATTTAAATTTCTTTATTGTAGATTCAGATAATAATAAGAAGAGAGATTATATTGAGAGGGCTGATGAGTTTTGTTGAAAAGTGGAAAAGGAAGAAAGTTAAGAAGATATAGAAGAGAGTTGTATGGATACTTTTGGTCTAAAGCTAACTCAGTGGTTAATATGGTGAGAGTGAGGAAGTGGTCATTTTGTATTATAGCCCCTCAGACATGTTCAATGTTATCAATTTCTTGTTATTACAATGCATAAGGTAGTGGATTCAATAATGTTACTGCTATTTGTTTTCCCATGGAGATGGTAATTTTTCGTTAACTTTGAGTCAAGAAGAGAATAACACACTTTTTTACTTTCTAGCTTATAGCAATTCCTGAAGTCTATTAAATTTTCAGGAGCTTCTTATCTTTTGTTGTTCTAATGATGTATTATTTTGATGATTCTCTTTGAATTTACAGTAAACCCTTGTGCCATTTTTGTTTTCTTCTCGCCTAAGAATCTTAAGCATCAACATCCTCTCATTTGTGGGAATCCTTGGTGCTATGTTAATTTTTTCCGATCCCAAATATTTTTTTATAGTTATTGTAATAACTTGTCATTTGTGCGGTTTCCTGAATAGGATATTAGCAAAAAATCACCAATGGAGTTGATCAATGAAGTTCCACCAATTAAGGTCGAAGGCAGGATTGTTGCATGTGAAGGAGGTTAGTTTGTTTCAATATTTCCTATTATTGCTTAAATGGGTGATTTAACTTCATTTCTCTAACAAGTAATAGACGTCGTTTCTGTTTGTAGATACCGACCCGGCACTTGGGCATCCAATTGAGTTCATATGCCTTGACCTAAAGGAGCCAGCTGTTTGCAAATATTGTGGTCTACGTTATGTTCAGGATCACCATCACTAGGACTTCTACAATTGCTAGTGTGAGCCATTGTCATGCTTACTGGATACATTCATTATCTAAGTTTCTATGATGGTTTGCTATGGCAAATGCTGGGGAAGATATAAATGTTACCGAGCAATAACTTTGTGATCTTCAACTTGTTTCAAGTCTCCATTTTACTGATTGTACTTGTGTTTAGTGTTTGGCAAAATAAGGACTTGATGCGCTTAATTACCATCAGCAGCATACACAGATTTATGAAATTTTACCTTATTAATCAATTTTTTCTGCTATAGTTGCCAAGTTATTTTTTTCTTGTGTTTTCCACTACTGATTTATATTCAAATATTTCATTTAAGTTGAGGTGACCATTTAGGATCACTGCCAGAATCTGGTTTCAATTGGGGAAGGTTGAAGTCTGATTCATTTATACATTCCTATTCTCATTCCCATCCGCATCCAATCCACGACAGTTACACGAATGTAAGATGGAATTGCTGAACTAGGATTGGTTAAAGTATCTTATCTAGAGTACAAGCATAAAGGAAGAAGAATAAGACGGCAAAATATATTAAGACTTTGATCAAACGGGGGAATGGAAGGAGAATACATCATGTGAATTCCGAGAAACAGAATTTATTGACGACCTATGAGTAACTTCATCAACACTGAAATATAGAAGAATCTAAGGCAAGGGATACCAAAAAACCCCACACAAACGGGGAATAAATGATGATAACAACATGAGTTATTGACGACCTATAAGTAACTTCATCAGTACTGAAATATAGAAGAATCTAAGGTAAGGGATACCAAAACCCCCCACAAACGGGGAATAAATGATGATGATAACATGAGGCTCTTCTCAAAAAATTGATAACATATGCCCAAAACTAAAAGACATGGGCCAACCTAAATTACATAAGAGTTGCTCATCAAATTTTATGTATTCATAAATCGACATACTCATCTACCTTTCCTTTTCAGCCCCTATGCAAAACTGTCGAATAATAATAAGAATGATGCTAAAACCATCTTTAAGAGCTACCTCCAACTGCAGCGGCAAGTTTACTTCTTTGCTGATGCTCCGTTACTTTATAATCTACGACTTCACGGAAAAGGCTTGGATCCAGCACACAATTCTCACTTCCATAGACACTGGCTTGGACACTAGCCATCAGTTTCGCTATTTCCCTTCCAGAAAATCCTTCAGTTTTAGCAGCTGCTTCCATTAAGACATCATCAGTCAATCCTTTAATCTCTATCTTTTGCTGTTCACCTTTGAATAGTTTCTGGAACACGCCAGATTTTCTTGATCCAGCTTGAGCAATATATTTGTCAAGATAGAGCTTTAGCAGCTTGAACCGTTCATCTTGCCCAGGCAAAGGGAACTCCAGGGCTTCGTCAATTCGATCGGCCACTGCTGAATCAAGATCACCAGGGCGGTTAGTGGCAAGTGCAAGGACTATATCCTTGGATTGGTCACCCGTTCGGAAAAGGAGAGCATTAAGTGCACTTCTTTGAGCTTCACTCATGTAAGTTTTGTTCCGCCTGCAAAATATTTGGTCAACAGAATCAACCATCGGTCAGGGTTATTGTACTCCAACCGAAAAAGACTTGCTAATTAACTAATATCAACAATATCAAAAAACTTAATTGTGAAATTCTATTAAAAACTGTCTCACAGAGACATATACATAGCATTCAGTTGGATCATTGTATTTCTGTACGTGGCATTCCTAATGAGTGTATTTATATTTTCCATGGCATTCCAAACTATCTAGCTTCCCCAATGTGTCGAGCCATCTGGCTCATGCTCCTAAAAATCATTTAATTATTTATACAGTAATATGCAAAGTTTTTACTTGTTTTGCGATGGAATTTCCTTACACAATATAATCAAATGGTAAGTATCACTTACTCGCACAAAAAAGCATCTGCTTCATCAATGAACAACAATAAACCCCGGTTAGACTTCTTAGCCCAATCAAACAGTTGGTGTATCTTGGTAACAGCCTGTGGCCCCAGTGGAGCAACATCTCCACCTGTCATCAATGCATAATCTAGCCCCTGCACGTATGGTTTAAAAATAAATCAATCAATGAAAACAATTATAGAAGAAAGAAAAAAGAATTAATAGTTTGGCACTATTACTCAAAGTTTCCTTAAATTATCAGATGACAGCATATGAAAGCAAAAACAGAGAAGAGTTGTCCTGACAATTCATAAACTTCTCCTAGTTGAATTAGACCTCGTTTCACAATTGTCCAAGGTTAAACCACCATTTAAAGTTTGAAATAATGATAAAATGTGTATATATCAAACTTCTACAAGCAACCTAAGCGTCAAGGTCAAATCCAGAATTGCAAAGCAGAATTTTGAAGCTACTCTGACGAGTGGAACAGAAAAATGAAAGCAACAAAATATTTACTGGTAAATCACATATCCGTCTTACTTTGTCAAAAAGATGTGAACTTGCCCAGAAAGGGGGGAAGAAAGAGGAGAATAACCAAACATACAAGCCTCTAAACAGAAATTTTCTGACAATAACAGAGCATAATGATGAAAGATCTTACAGATTTACGAGCCAGCTCTCTAGCAGCCATTGTTTTCCCTGTTCCTGGAGGGCCGTAGAAGAGCATGTTCCGAAATGGTGCATTGTGTGTTTTTGTATTGGCAGTTGCTCCAGCCAGCTGTTCAACTCTTTTCTTAAGAGATGGGTGTAGAATCACATCACCAAATCCGTTTCCATTTTTCGAAGCCGGCTCTTTGTTACTACCACGTAAAGAGTTTACGGCACGTGAAAACAAGCCTGACCAAGGATATTTTCCCCTGGAGGACTCCCTGATTAGAGATGGTTGTCCCAATATTCTATCCACATATCCCCAAATCACCCTTGCACCTTCTCTGCATTGGAGAAAAAATAAAGTAATAAGCCAATGAAACTTTAAATGCCATAGTTCACAAGGCTTGGTAATTAGTGGCTGCAGAGCAACAAACATGAATTCTACAAACTCACATTGGGTACAATAGACATGAATTCTACAAGCCCAAAACCAATCTCAAGATTGCAAAACAACAAAAAATTGTCTAAATGCGTGAAAAACCGTTCATCCAGTGAAAATGAATATTAAGAGTTAATAATGATAGGCATTACACCATAGTCACACACACAGCCCATACTTCCACTCTTGTACAGTTTCACTCCCAAAGCAAAGACTAGCTTTCCTAAAAAGACATCATCTGATGAGAACAAGGTGTCTCCAGAACTACAGAGATAGGTGGATTTCTATGATAGCTAGATAAAACAGTAACCAGGAAGATTGTTTGAACAGAACTACAGAGATTGGTGACATTCTTTAAAAGATGGCAATTTTTTCCACACACAACCCTTCTAACATCAAGGGGTGTACACCATGAACCATCTATTAGTCAAACAAACTAAAAGATTCAAAATACCAAAATAATTCCTTAGAATCAACAGGTAAAACCCACACATACATGTGAAGTATTCAGATGAGAATCCTCAAGTAGAAACTTAATGGTTACCTTGTTGTGTATACTCCTGCTGCCAGAGCAGTCACTCCCCCAACCGCAACAACAAGTTTATTTTGGTCAGTTAATATAGCTCGCAAACCCCCTACACAAAACAGATCCATATTAGCCGCACCTTCTAAAGCAACAAATTAAACAAGTAGCATCAGATTAACACTATAACAGGATGGTATGGCCAACATGTTGTCACTAAGGTAAAACTTTGGAATGTGGCATGTCACAAAGGTAAAACTTTGGAATGTGGCATGTCACAAAGGTAAAATTAAACAAGTATATTTGATTTCTAATGAAAACACTAGAAGATATTTTAAAGTTACAAAAGGTAATATTTACTAAACAATCAATTGCATAAGCTTTCTTGAGATAAAGAGTATGCAATTGAATTTATACCCCCAATATGGTCAAAGGTGGTATTTATGGCAGCAACCCATTTCTCTCTTTCTGCATTTGCACGATCTACTAGCATTCTCCTGTTAACCTCTTCAGTTAGCTTTGCTTCTTGGGCTCTCCCTTCTGCTTCTGCCATAGCTTTCACCCTGATTGTTTCACGTTCTATCTCAGCCTTTTCCCTTTCTGTCTGCCGCCTTTGTGCTTGAATCTGTTCTTCTGTAGCTCTCCTAGCTTGCTCCTGCCTAATTGATGACTCTTCTTGCATTTTTACAAGCTCTTGGTTTCTTGTTCTATGGTATTCATTTTCTGCCTGCAAGTAGATGTACCTGATTAATAATTCTCCATAATACAACTACTATGTGAATCTCAATATATTCATGTACATGCCTGCATCCTCTTCCTTGCCAGTTCGTCCTCATAACGGGCCATCTGGGATTTTGTTTGTGCCTGCTGCTGAGCTAGCTTTTTTTGTTCATCATATATCACCCTTTGTCTATCCTGCCAGAAAATAGTTAATGATTTCAGGAAACAAATATGTGCCCATAAAAGCAGTTTCACAGGCCACATAGCTTAGAAAAGCAAGTATATATGTATCATAAATTCCTCATTCAAAAATCTGGTAATCGACACTGATAAAGGAGGTCACAGCCTTTGCATTTTTATTCTTTATTTATTTTCTCTTTTTTACTATCTTATCTTAAAAGCTGATAAAAAAGCTCATCTTGCTTAGTTTAAACTAACTCCGATTTCCTATCAAAGCACAAGTCACTTAACTTGAGTGAAGGCAAAAACAGGGTTAAAATAACCAGCCAAAGAGGAATTTAATTTGGCAAGTTGGAACAGATACCGGGTGGAACCATCAAGGATATTTTTCAGGCAGATATGACTAGATTAGATGAGATTCAATTCACAAGCACAGGCACAGGCATGAGAACACTCGGCCAACTCCGTAAAATATTCAACTTTCACAATACTGCCAAATTGCTATCACAGCTGCAGAGTTTAAATATATTGAACTTCGATCACAGGCTGTAAAACTACAGCACTCGGAGCAGCCTGTCATTTTTCTCTCTCTAAATCCTTAACAAAGAAATAATCACCACTTTAAATTCAAATTCTATTCTAATTATCTTTCTTTCCAAAAGGGCTGAAACTACTAATTCTCCAGATAATCCTCAGTAACTCAAATAACAAGGACAAGACTAGGTCTCATAATTTCTACTCACTGAAGTATCAAAAGACACAAATTGAATATTGCCATATTTTATTTGAATTGCACATTTATTCTGGATTTATATTCATGTTCTTTAGTTTTTCATTTTGATATGCATTTTAAGGGTTAACCTCATCTTTTTCTCCT